AAGAAAAGAAGGAAGGAGAGGAATGGGAGGGAGGAAGGAAGGAAGGAGAACAGGGAAGGTGAAGGAAAGGAAGGAAGGAAGGAAGGAGAGGAAAGAATGGAGGGAGGAAAGAAAAGAAGGGAGCGGGAGGAAGGAAGGAAAGGAAGAGAGAGAAAACCCATTCCTTAGAGGTCTGTAAGGGGCATGCATAAGTGCACCATCTTGCCTATCGTCCCTGTCCTGTTGTCCCCATTTGTACCTATTTCCTGTACTCCTACTCATGTTTATACATTCCTGTTATCCTGTAAGCAATTGACAAATCAAATAAACTCAAATCAAATAAGGAAGGAAGGAGAACAGGGAAGGGGAAGGAAGGAAGGAGAGAAAAGAAGGGAGGGAGCAGGAGAAAGGAAAGGAAAGGAAAGGAGAGAATTCCCATTCCTTAGAGGTCTGTAAGGGGCGCGCATAAGCGCACCATCGTGCCTACCGTCCCTGTCCTATTGTCCCCATTTATTCATACCTATTTCCTGTACTCCTACTCATGTTTATACTTACACCTATTATCCTGTAAGCAATTGATAAATCAAATAAATAAATAAAAATAAATATTGCTTGTTGTCTTTAAAGCCCGCCAGGGGGCAGCAGCCACCCACCTTTGCACAAACGCGCCTTAACAGAGCTTAAGTTGCATTTGTGAGGATGGTTTACACCAGGCTCTCTTTAAATTGGTCTGACAGGGGGGGGGGTTCCCCCCTGTATTAGTTGCCTACTCGTTTAAACTCCAAGCCAGTCTGAGAAGCCAGCCTGACCCCTCTACTCCCTGGCTAGGCGTCTTAATACCTGGGAGAAGACCACATCTTCAGGGCGAGGGGATGGCATGAGAGCAGCCTTCCCAGGTTCGCACATAGGGGAGAGCAGCTATGAACATACAACCAAAGCCACACACACACACACACCCTTTTAGGTGCACCACCTACATGGCATCCGTGCAAAGAGAAGGTGGACATCTTGACTTAGTCGAACCTCCTTGAATAAACTCCGGGTGGTTCCTGAACAGCTCAAACGATGCTATTCTGGGATAGGAGAGAAAATAAAAACAGCAAGCAAGTTCTGGACAGCAGAGCACCAGACAGCTTGTGAAGGCAAAAATCACAACATTGCATCTCACTTATTTTGGCCATGGCACGTGGGGGAATTCACTGGAGAAAGGAATCCTGTTTTGAAGAGTTAGAGGTAAAAGGAAACCAGGTTCGAAAGGACACTGGCCGGACACCAGCCAGAGCAGAGAACAAAGAAGTAGTGCAAGATCGGAAGATGTGGGGAGACCTGGCCCAGAGTCTCATTAACAGGAAGATACAATAAAGATCAAGGGAGGTACTAATACCACTCTACAAAGCCTTAGTAAGGCCACACCTAGAGTACTGCATCCAGTTTTGGTCACCACACTAGAAAAAAGATGTTGA